ACACTGATGGGAGTGACCCCGTCATTGATCTGCCTGTTTGGTAAAGCAGACAGTCAATGGATGAATAATCTATTTTTAAGAATTGGTTATATCAGCAGTTCATTTCTTCAGTATTAAAGTTTCAGCGTCTTGCAAAACTAGCTACGTACTCAGTCTTGGTGAGAAAACTAAAAAAGCCCTCTTATTCAAAGCGTGCAAGAATAGAGGTTACCGAACTCAAACGAGGTAATGATAAGGTTTTTAGTTTTACGGTTTGAATTATTGCTGAATTCCATGTATATATATTATTTACCATTTGAACGATGCTATTTTAACGACTTTTTTCATTTACTGCATTGAGCTCGGATTACGCGAAATCTCGACCAATCAAAACTCGGATAATTAAATCACTACTGTAATTCACAGTTACCTCAATATCGTTGGCTGTCAGGTACACTCGTTTATAACTATTTCTTTGACGTAGATGGTCATTTTTAAGCAAAACGTTGTGCATTGTCACCGTGTGCAGTTGGTCTCAAATTGTTTTGATGAGCGGGATTCTGACTTGAAATTACTACCCTGATATTAATGCTGTCAAGCCTTTCTGGGACAAATTGCGAAGATCAGGTCAACACTTCGAAACGCCATCAATTAGTTTGAATGAACTTGGGACTTCTATTATGTCTGCATGGCTTAAAATTCCTCACGAATGATATCAGCACTTTTTTGAGTCTATGGACAAAATAATATCATCTGCGATCAAAGCTATATGTGGAACAAAGCGTTATTAGCAGATGTGTGTAATATTTTGGTGACTTAGTATATAATAATTTGAACTGCACTCTACTAAAAGAATTACTGTTACCTTTAATTTGATTATCTGTTACTGAAATTTTGAGCAAACACGGGCCCGAGTTTATAGCTGTTCGCTGATAGTCAGGTCTCAGGCGTTCAAATTACGAAATTCGAATTCTTGAACTAGAACTTTGAAGTTGCACATTTTATCTTCTAATAGCATTCTTGTATGTGAAACATTTAGCGTGTTTTACTCTGGAGACTAAAACGATTATAACCACCTTCTCTCAAACCTAATATTTTTGTGTGAAAGGATTTTTTTTAAATTTTTTATCGGAAGCATGGTTTCTTTCAGAAATCCCCTCTTCCTTTATTATTTATGTCTTTAGATTTCTAATACAAGAATTCTGAAGTTATCGAATACCAGTTCTTTAATTACAATCAAATAATTACTGGTTGCGGGGACTGCCCGCCGTACCTGAAAAGAATTACTTTTCAAAATAAAATTCTTTGTAATTTTTGTAGTGCTAAAGGCAACGCAAGACATTTCGTCGAATACTGCTTATTTTTTACGACATATTCGGAAAAAAGGTGGCATTATAAAGGAATTCTATTGCCGCAGGAAAGTGTTTAGATTTGCAGAGGATTTGATGAACTTTATAAATGGCAATAGAACCAACCATATCGGAAATTTTGATTTGATGTTTTTAACAGTATTTTTGTTTTAATCTGTGTTGGGTGTGCTGCATTAACCATAAGGTCGATTATTATCGACCAGGAGGCTTGCAGCCCACTCGTATATTGCATTACATTACCAGTTTTAAATCAATTGTTTTGGTCGAGGAAACATTTTTAGTTTACGAATTATCCAGTAAGGCGCTAGTCTATGTTACATGCCAAAGATAGCTGTAGTCTTTTATTTTAGACTGGTGAGTATAAATAATTTGTCTTAACATTTTTCGACTATAAATTCCAGCTTTTGTTTGATATGTGATTTTATTCTGCAGTTGGGGAAGGGAAAGTATTATGAAGCATTATCACCATACAATGAGAAAACGGATGTTTTTTATAAATCACCACAATAATAATATGCCCTATTCGACAGTGGAAGTAGTCTTTTTCTAAATAGCACAACAACGGCAGAGTAGGTAAAGCCGCAAAACATTAGTAATTCACTTAGTTTGTTTCCACCAGTTGAAAGGTGCAGCATAAGGTGCTATATCATATTTTTTCATGTATAATGGAAATATGGATTCGTTTTCCTTTGAAAGCCGTCCTTGAAGGCATCTTCCCGAAAGTTAAATGGGACTGGTACGCTTTGCCGTAAACAAATAATTATAAAGTACAATAATGTAAATTATAATAATTACATTGAGGAAGGCTTCTTCCTTTCCATTTAACAAAATATTTGTATTAAGGCAGTCAAGATGTAACTAGATAAATTTATTGTGAAATTAAAATTTTAACTAGCTCAGTTTTCTGGTAGAATAATGTTTGCTAACCTGGATTTAGTCTATGGGAATTTTAAATTCAGCTTAAATTTAATCTGTTTAATTACGCTACTCTGTAAGAGACAGTTTCTCTCTTATTGACGTTGAAAACAGTAAGTTTTTAGAATTGACATAAACGTGAACCACCTGGCAGTGCAACACTTACAAGCTATCTAAAGGTTGTTTAACGAATGGCATTATTGAAGACGTTTACAGTAATTAAAATGCGTAATTTTATCGCAAATATTGTCCTAACCATCAAACTAATTTGCTGTTCGTGATGCATATTCTGAGGGATAATGCTTTTTGATACAATGATTAACTTTTGCATTATGAAAGTGAACTTTACTGCATTCTGAACACACGAATTTATTTCCAGTTGCATTCATATCAAGATGCTTTGTTCTCATATTTCCATTACTTAATATGTAAATATTTAGATACGCCGCTTTTTAATTTTCTCTCTCTGTTTCTCACCTCGTCGTTTCTATGGCTCTCCAGCGGTTTGCAAAAATCTTTGCCATCTCTCTCTTAATGAATGCGCGGCATATTTTCGACCCAGCTTGCATCTGTTCGACTCAGTTACTTGTTGAATCTAAATTTTTGCGCTAAAGATGACTTGACAGCATTCTGTTCCAAGTTAGACATAGCAACATATGATGAGTTACTATCGGTAGCAAGCGACGAAGTGGATAACAGAATCTTTTCTCCAAATGAAATTGAAAGGGTTAAGTTATGGCAGACAGCCCACAGAGCGGCTGTACATACAGTTAGGCTTCGTCGTTGAAGGAGACAATTATCAGGCTTAATAATGAACCTCTGTGTTTCAAATCCAACTTGACAGGTGAACTTTACGCTAACCACCTCCAAAACCATCGTTGGTTTGTTATGCTATCTCTTTAAAAATGTGACCCTTTAGTCTAATTGACTAACCATTACGTGCATGGCTTGTGACGATAAGCCCAAGGCATTATAATTAAACGTAGTTAACTTTTACAAACATTTAAAATTTGTTTTACAGATGGAGTTTGTTCAAAAGATGTGCATGAAACGCTAAGCAACCAATTTGAAAAATTTTGCCATGTCAGTTAAGAATGTTGGTCTTCTACTTACTTCTGCCATTTGAGTAAATTTAATATGACCTTCGTTTATGCAAATTTTGTAGTCGTTCCAACAAGCGAATCAACGTGCTACATTTCTGATCATGCAGAGTAGTTATTCAAACCAAATTTTCGCAGTTCATTCTGTTCTTAAAATTTTCACAAAGTATTAAAATTTTACTTTTTAATTTGGTTAATTTTTTTTTATTTTGTTTTTGTTTATATATATATATATATATAAAGACTTCGAAACTAGAAATTTTAATTCGCAGAAAACATTTTGCTGAAGAGAGAGGAAAGGTAAAACAAAAGTGTTTAAAAGTTGTAGCAGTCTCATATTTTTATAATCCAGTTTAACAATTTTTTGACATCATAAACTGATTATCCTGATAATATGAAGCGTGTGTCTCAATCAAAAGTCTAAATTGATTTTTTAATGCAAAATATTTATTCGTATCTGCATGTAAATCGAAATTTAGTATTTTTTGTAATAAGAACAATTTATTTATTAAGCATTTAAATTACATGGGAATTTTTCAAAAAAATTTTGCTGAAATTTTGCTGAAAGCAAGGTCGTAAGAATATTTTGCTTACTTTTTTACTATAAATAAAAAAACAGCACTGGAAGCACCTGAAAAACCTCGATTGCTGTGTCTAATCTGTCAGTTAAAGGAACAGCCGTGTTTTTAGATTACTTGATGAATTTAATTCAAAATATATTTAAGTTTTTTAAGCCCAAGAATGTATTTCTGTGCTTTGTTGAAGAAAGCAAAATGGTATAGATAGTAAAATATAAAACTATTGTTATATAGATAACGGAAGTAATTAAAAAAAAATAAAGAAGAAGAATTAGACAGTTACAGTTCATGTATTGTAACAGAATTTTTCCTTTGTCCCTGCATTTTAGTTTTGATGCAAAATTTAATATAGAAGTAGAAAAGCTAGAAAAGATTGTTAGAGAGTCGAAGTAATGTATTGTGCCAGAAACATCTCGCATTAATCATACTAATGGTGTAAACATTTATAATAGTAGTTTAAAAGTGTTATTTTACTGATGAGTTATGTACACTTTTAATAATAATAGTTCTGTTTTCCAATATATCGGCTATACCTTCTTTCCGTAGTTTAGCAGGATTTGAGAAAAATGAAAATAATAACTTCTAAATGACTCTGTCACGTGTTTTAACTATTCATTCGTCTGTCATTCAAACGAGAAGCTGCAAACATAAATTACTGTTTTCATTATTATTATTATTATTATTACTATTTATTTTTTATTTTTAACTTATTTACATTTTAAATTATGCTGCGCATTTTGTTTATCAGACGAATTTTACAATTCATAGTTCATTTTTCTGTGTTTACCTAACCTCTGTTTTCCAGTTTCATTACAAATTAGTAGTTATCTAGGGCCAAATTCTTCACAACTTGTTTCAAGAAGATTAGACGGAAGTCTTAGTTTTTTTAACATACTGAGGAAACTCCCGACATGTCATTCTTCATGCCAATTTGTAAACGTTCCAATTCAGCGAAGAAGACGATCGAGCAAAGATCTCCAAGGTTCATGCCAAAGCCCTCTGTTTGCGCTCGAACTCTCATCTCCCAGAGCAAGAGTAGAAAAATAACAATAAAAAAAGAATACTATCTACGATCATGACGCCAGTAACCTTCGAATATGCGGAGTTGAGTGGCGCGCTGTTCAACTTGGCTATAAAAGCGGCACTCTCTGAATCCGCGGTGCTAAGAATGAAATGAAATTCCTCCCTAAAAGATCCTCTTAAACTCGCACAAGACTAAAATCTTTACAACTATTTCCGGTTACTGCCATCAGTTTCAGCATACGTTTTCCTTCTGTGAAGAACTAACGGCTATTGAGATAGTTTAGAGCTACAGAAGTTTACATCTCTTCGAATCTGTTGTAAAAGCAAGTGTTCTAAAGATGGATTTCGAATCAATTCTCCAAGAAGTCGGAGACTTTGGAAAGTACCAGAAATCTCTTCTCTTTAAATTTATGGTACCGACTACTTTGGCATCAGCGTTTTATGTTCTCAATGTGATTTTCATGGTAGCTAGCCCTGACCACTGGTGTTATGTCCCAGAACTCTCATCTTTGAACTTCACAGAAGACGAAGTTAGAAAAATGTCTATTCCGAAACTGCCGGACGGAACCTTCTCAAAATGTACTATGTATGCTTATAACTACACAGCTTTGGCTGCAGAATACAAAGTAACAGGCAAGTTCCCAGAGTTCAGGCCAGCTGGAAAGATCATACCGAGAAGACCTGTACAGAAATGTAATCATGGTTGGGTATATCAAAAAGACTGGTACGAAGAAACGATAGTATCACAAGTAAGTTGCACTTACATATTTTAAATATTAAGTATGCATTGCAATTTTCGTGACTTATAAAATTTCAATGTATTAAGTATTTATTTCGATATGTTATATACTTTGATTTCTACTTAGATTATGACTAAAATCAACATTCCCTAATTTAGACACATATTTAGGAGTATTTATTTTATTAAATAATAATATGTAAAATTTCCCGATTTTTGTATTTTGAAATTTTTAGATATAACGAGAAATTTTAATAAAAGCCAGTTTGAAACTTAAACCAAAATTCAACCATAAAAGTGTGTTTTCATTTCGAGCAAGATTAATACGCATATTCTTTGTTGACACAACTAAAACCAATTTAGTTTTTTCAAGGAAGAGTTTCTTTCAATTTTGTGTAACAGAAATAATATTAGAGGAAAAAAAGTATATGAAAAGAAATCTTTCAGATTTGATATTACGCCTTAAGAGGCGTTTTTTTTTTTTTTTTTTTTTTTTTTTTTTTTTTTTTAACGTTTTGTGTGTTACCTTTATTTGTTGAATATCATGTTTTTTCGCCCTTAAACCATAAAATTCAATTCAACAGCAGAATATAACAAAATATTTAAAAGAGCATATCTTTAGATTTCCGATACACAGTCTCGCGCTGGAGATAAAAATGCTTTTTTTTTTTTTTTTTTTTTTTTTTTTTTTTTTTTTTTCCGTACAGTTTTGACATTGCTGGTTTTGAAATCGTTGAGTTTGTTAATAAAAATTCCTTAATGTCTGACAAAATCTGAAATAGATAATAAAACAAATACTGTTAAATGAAATAACTATTTTTTACCTTTTACTTAGATACAAAGTAGTGAAACAATTATTTGGGTAAAGGCATTAAGATGTTATTTATAAAAATGATTGCTACTTTAAATGTTGAGGTTAAAATTACTGAAGTGAAAACTATTCCAAAAATTTTTTAAAAATTTTTAGAGCATAAATCAGTGCTCAGCTCAATTTTTGTGCAGTATTGTACTTAAAAAATGATTAAATGAATTTTGAAAGGAATATTTTGAGGTAACTATTAACATTATTTCATAAACATTTAATACTTTATAGCGCAATAATAATAACTTTAATTATCACGTTTCCTTAAATCTCATTCTCATAGCAATTGTGGAGTGATAGCATTTATTACTTACAATGATTTCGAGAACGCTTGATAGGTTGCACATGACTACATATTTGAGTCAAATTGCAAAAACTCCAAAACAGAAAATAAGGATAGAATGAACGGAAAATTATGCTTATTAATAAAATTTTAAATCTGCTTATCTGCACTTCTGAGCATTAAAAAGTGGCTTCAGATGCAAATCAGAATTTAGGAAGAGTTTGTGTCAAGTCGAACTTAATTGGAATTAACTTAATTAAACAATATATATCACACCTGTAATGAGTAAAAATGAGTAATTATTTTAGTTTAGTTTACAGTGATTTATACATATGTAGATGCTTAGTTTGAGACGAAATAAAGATAGATCGTTCAAATTATGATAGATGTGTAAAGACGAATATCGTGGTTATCATGATATGATGATAAGTGAACAAACTGATGTTCGATCATACAAATTCGAAAAAACTGGAATGTCTTTGAAATTGAAAGTGAAGAAATAAGATTAGTTCATCTTTTGAATGAACTGAAAAAAAAATTAATGATACTTTTAATGAAGAATCTTGCTGCGTTATAATCACATAATATAATAAATTTCGGGATTTAATTCTAACTTCAGTTCAATTTTTTTATTACATTTTTTTACAAATGTAATAAACAATGTTATTAATGTTTTAACTCTGAATACTGCTACCTTTTCTTTATTCTGAATACCTCTCATATGACTTTTGGTTTTGATAATAATTCAATAATTGTAATATTATAGATAGTAATAAATCGGAAGTTAAAAAATAATACAGATTTGTATGTGACTGAAATATACGTTGTAATGCTAAAATTCCATTGTAATACATACAATTCTATTGTAAGTTTAAGATACAACTTCAAATTAAAACCTAAGAGTTATTTATAACTATACAAATAATAATGCTGTTTTACACTTCGTATTTAATCATCAGAGATTTGTATCCATCTGTTGTTCCGAAGGTACAATATAAAGCAAATGGAAATACAAAGATACTCAAAATGGTTTTTCGAATTCGTTATTTACCTTTTCTCTGCGGTATATGGTGCATTGCTTTTATATACTTTCTTTGCAACGTATTCCAGATTAAATTATTACATTAATTTCCGTTTATTAAAGTGAAATATAGAGAATTAAAAAAAGGCTGCATCTTTTTTAAACTATGCAATGAAAATTCCGATTTGCAGTATTATGCAACAGTCGAACATTGTAGCGATTTTCTTCTTCTTTTACAGTGGGACTTGGTGTGTGACAAGAATTATCTTCCGAGTCTTGTTCTAACCTTAGCAAACGCGGGAAGCGTTCTTGGAACCTTCTTATTTTCTGCCGTGGCTGACAAGTGCGTATTTATCTTGTATTTTTTATTATTTGTCTACTGTTCTTTTAAAGTTTCTCGTTCCTTCTTTTACCATTCGTATGGGACTATATATATAAACGAATTACATGAATCTCTTTGGGGCCTGTAGCATTGTTAGAAAACAATGTATTAATAACTGTTAAGGTTTCTTGACTCATGAACCACTTAATTTCATTTTTTTTTTTTTTTTTTTTTTTTTAAGTTCATCAGAATAACAAACATTGCATAAATTTTAAATAACAGTAATACTAAAACAAATCCAAAAATTAATGTGAAAGTAAAACATAGTACATATTTGCATGTGAATATGTGTCAAATGGCCAGACATTTGCAACTTAATGCATTCGTCGGGCATAGCTGTTTGTATCTGAACATGCAAATGTTTCATAATTATGTTTTTAAAATTAATTTATTTAGAGAAAAATTTAATATCTTGATATTTTAAATGTCTTAGTTTTTGTAAAAGTTTTCATTCAGAGATAACTGCAGCACAGCGCCAAATAAGAATATTAAAGACCAAAAACTATTTAAAACTCTTTTTTTCTCTAAGCATGAACAGCAATCATATTCATAGAAATAAAAATATTTAGGATTACAGAAACATTAACGATATTTTTTATTACAGCATAAGGTATTTCTTCCGCCTTCTTAGCATGCCTTCGTGATGTAATGATCAGCACATTCGGCGCGTATTCGAGAGGTCTGAGGTTCGAGTCCTGGCGAGGGCATTGCTAATTTTTTTATGTCTCCTGCTTCGAAATAATCTAATGTCTCTACAGTGGCTCAACTAAAAACGGTGGCGGATGCTGATTCTCCACCAGCAGGATTTGGCGATAGGTTCCCCTAATCCCCAGTCGCCCTTTAAAAGAGGGAGTATATAAGGTATTTCTCCCTCCTTCTTAGCATGCCTTCGTGGTATAATGGCCAGCACACTCGGCGCGGTTTCGAGAAGTCCGAGGTTCGAGTCCCAGCGAGGGCATTGCTAATTTTTTATATCTCTTGCTTCGAAATAACCTAATGTCTCTACAACAGAAATATTTATGATACGGATGATATTTACAGTTACAGAAATTATGATATGTGCCTAATATATTTAGCGATGTACAATTCTTATAAATAATAATTTGACAAAATAACTAAGTTAGCCATCAGAATTGGAATGTTAGCAAGTATAGCACTATTAAAAAGAAAAAAAGTTTGTGAATGATTAAATAGATGTTTAGAAAAGAGTTGTAATTCTTTCAATATTCATCGAGAAATTTCTTTTATACTATTAGTTGCAACTAATCGAACAAAGTTAAAGGTTTCGTTGCTACAATCACATTAATTATCGCCAAAATTGTTAAATGAAAATTCCATCATAAAAATTTAAAGAACGCTCATGTAAAAATTCAAAGAATTGAATTGCGAATTGAACTGAACTGCGGTAGGCGAAAACTCCATCCTCATTTTCTAAGGCACCGGTTGTTAAATAAGAATAAGAAAACCCTTAATTTTAAAAAATGTTAAATAAGTGACTACAAGTAAAAGAGTAGCTTAGAAAATCAATCAATCATTTAATTTTAAATGACGTTTTATTAACACTTAACAACAACATACAGGAAAACGATAAAACTGAAAAATGGAATAACATAAAATAGTTTTTAAAAGTTCAGAGCGTGAGTTCAAACAATCACATCTCACTTCTGCAGCTTGCGTGCGTTGAATTGAGTATTTTCGGTAGAGCGCGTTGCCGACGATAGTCATTTATTACAAGCCTTATTTATCTATTCATAGTACAAAAAATATGTAGTGTAATCTAGAACTGTTCAATAAGAAAGCCAGTGCTTTAAATACAAAAATGTGGTTTGTCAAATTAACAAATATCAATTGGTTTGTCAAATAAGCAGCCAATACGTAAAGTACAAACGAAAATTCGGTCTATTAATGAATTTGCTTGGAATTACAATGCCAAGTTTTACAGTTCAAGAATAAAAATGAAAACGGAGAACGTTTAACTTCATCTTTAATTAGGAAATTTTTAAAAAGAATTTTACTCACGCAGAAGTAAACTTCATAAAATCAATTTCTAAAACCAAAGCATTTTCACTATTAAATAGTTGTTAGTAAACATCACATCATTTTTCCTGCTCATTTGCTTGCTAAAATTATTTACGTTAGATCTATATGCATTTTTTATGGTCTTCTATCGATAAGTTATTTTTTAGGTCAGTTGCTTAAAAACAGTCTTTGAGGCTAAGGAAATGCAATTTTCATAATTCATCATGTCCCAAAATTTTTATCTTTGCAGCAATAATGGTAGCAAAATTGAGATTCACATTTCAGTGGTAGCAAAGTTGAAATTATATTCGATAACTTGTGAAGTGTAGTGATTTACAATTGTACAAATGGAGGGACAAATGCACTTTCAACTACAATTTTATATACTTATCTAATAACCCCGCTTACTATTGCCACAATCAAGAGAATACACTCTTATAATCTTCTTATTTTAAATTTTTCGTTTGTCTAACTGAATGTGATGAAGCATATCAGGGCTACCTAAGGAAAAGGATGCTTTTGTGGAGGAATTTGTGAAGAAAACTGGTTTGCATTTGTAGAGGAAACAAGCGCGGGTAAAGCCATCTTATTTCTTCATTCTTCTACTCTTCAAAGTACGTCAGTTTCTTCATAAGCTTTTTTCCCGCTATATTTGAAAGGAATGAGTCAAGGCATGTATCCTGGTATTTTGTAGACATAAAATGGTTTCAATTCAAGAAATGTGCTGAAATGTCAGAAAACTCTCATATCTTCTGTGAGCATTTTAACTCCTCTCGCTTTTCGTCTGAGCAAATGGTAGAGAGAAGTCTCCGGCTAGATTTGGTTGTCCGAACTCGCAACGCAAAATCATGTTTTTTTTTTTTTTTTTTTTTTTTCCCTGAAGTATCAAAATAGATGATGTTACCAAATAAGAATAAGACAAAACGAATGACGTTTCTTTAAGACTGTTAAATAGCCCTGCTATAGCAAAAGCGTTTCCGTCAGATTGTCCTGATTAAATCCTCCTCCAGAGTTGTAAACAGTGTGGTATATTAGTCATGCTATGATTATTTCGCTTTCAAAATGTTATCCTATGCAAACTTGGCACAACTTAACTAACCGCATTATTCTTTATGTTAGTTCATTCAATTTTTTTTTTACTTGTTTTATAGATGATACTTAGACTTCTTGTATATGTTACAGAAATTCTCTAAGTATTTTTAAAGTAATTAAAAGCGAAAAACAATTGTCACTTTTTAAAAATAGGTTATGTTAAGTGATTCCAGAGAGGTATGCCAACTAGATCTTCAATCAAAACCCAGTCTTTGTTTGATCTAGTTTTTAAATCATAAGTGTTAATGCATTTTCAAAGACTACTTCTGAATGTCTCTTGGAATTGCACTGAATATTTTAAATCGAGATTAGGGGCCAATTTCCTTTAGAAAATCCTCCACGAAAACATTTCATCTCGTGCAGGTATTTCTCTTGTTCTTTGTATAATTAATAGCCCGATGAAGCATTTTATTTGAAATCAACACCAAAATAAGTTTGAATTTTACCTTTTAAAACATTTTGTTACTTATTGTTCAAAGTTTTTGCACTGCAGCCAGAAATGCATATTATTACACTTTAAAAACTGTCTTATTAAACCATTCCTTTCTGTAGTGGGAAAAGATCTGACAAAGAATTATTTTACGAGTGAAGTTTAATCTATGATGAAATCGATTTCTTTTAGTCTATGGATATATAAGCTTTCAGCAATTAGTTAGTCCTGTAGCGCCACGTTATGCTATTTTCCTTGCGAAAAATAATTATAACTGGTAAAATAAATCAAAACTTACGGATAAAATCTGATATTATAATAAAGCCAATCGATTACTTTTTAAGACACAATACCCATTCATCAGAATAGAATTTTTCAAAAATTATTAAAAATATTTATATATTTATCTTTATTATTGTTTTTTGAATAAACTAATTCAGAGGATTTTTAGTAATACACAAAATCGTCAACACCAATGAGTATTGCTTTCGGAAATATTCTTACCCTTTACTTCTCGAATAAGCCAGTGATCACGATATCTCAAATGAAAAAGGGTATATTGTTACAAATTTCAAACTTTGCGTTCTGTCTACAGTAAAGCAAAGCGAAGAGAACCTTTAACTTATGAGTCATCTAAATACTGAAAATCTTCTGCATTACGGCGAAACAATAAAACATTTTAAACAGTAAAGAAAGGATTAATTAAAAAGTTAAAATATTAAATGTTATGCACAGAAATCTCCATACTGAATAGTGTGTATTTGTATGATGCTATCTAAAGATCTCAACAATATTTTTTAAGCTGGTAGATAATTGATTACTAAAGGTGATTAAACGAACAATTAGCACATACGTAAACTAAAGAATATGATAAATTTAATGATTAAAACTCTTTTATCCGTCCCACCGAGTTATTTTTGAAATTACAATTGATAAATATCTTATTACTAAAATAAAATAATTAACAGTTTATCCTAATATTTAAGATTTGCTGTTGAAACACAAGACAATTTTGATTATTAAAAACTCTTCCGTGTGTTCCGTGAAAGATTTAGAATCACGAAAACATTTAAAAATAATAAAAACTGATTTTTTTTTATCCGTGGATACGACAACGAATTTAGCTGTGTTTCTCCATTGCATCTCAAGCTGATGCGACGAGAGTTCTCTATTTTTAGACAGTCGTCTGCTAAAAAATATTGACCTCGACGTCATGGTTCATAAACAATGTTAGCAAGCAGGCAGGAACAAAAATTGTTCTAAACATTTGGTAGACAGCGTAGTTCTTGTGGTATTTACAAACATCACTCTTTGTTGACCTTTCAGTAATTCCTTTGCTACTTTGTTTTGAAGTTTTCCTGCGTAAACAGTTCAAAAACAAGGAAACATGCTTCCTTAAGAAATTAGAATAAATTTACTACGATGAACTTTTATTACGTTAAAGGATTAGGTTTGAATTTTCCTTGTAAAATTTATGAAGATCATAAATTTCCATGAATAATTCTCACTAAATAAGACACATTTAGTGTGATTTGAAAAGCACTAAATGGTACATATTTTTTTCTTTTGCTAGGCTATTCCTTATGACAAAGCAAAGGAGGTTTATTTGGTAGAATCGGAGTACTTTGTGGTGAGCCTTCTAATGTCAGTGACCAGATATCGTGGATGGTGTTGGATAGTTTCACATTTCACTGTGGTGTCCTGCCTTTGAATACAAGATATATGTAATCTATTTTAAAACTAACTGGAAATAGTTATGTTAGCGCCCCTATGTGCGGTCATGTTTTATGGGATCAGAAATATATTCAATAATCAAATGAAAGCGCTTTCTTTATGTACCTTTTAGAAAACGTTTTCTAGATATAAGGAAGGTCTACAAAAAGATTGACTGGTAAAGGAATTCTTGATTTTTGTTCCAGCTGTGTTTCATACTTGGAAAATAGGAAGTAAAATTAAGCCATTTGAAGAACTTTAAATGGATCACCGTAGAATGTAAACAGGTGGTGAGAAGCTTAATTTTCTAAAGAAAATATTCTGATGAAGAATTATAATTATTTGAATACAAATTATTAATTTTATCGTTGTATTTTATACGAAATACTTGACAATTGATAAGAGTGTAAAACAGAAATTGAATGAGATTTTCCCATATGCAGAACAGTCATGTTCTTTTCAAATCTAACGACAATGATTAAACTCTTGTTTATTAAGAAAAACTGCAGCAGCTTAGTGTATACGTCGACAATGCATGCAGTGAAACGTGAAATATTATGCACAGAAACTTTCATACTGAATGGTGTATATTTGTTTGATGTTAAGTTATGTAGCAAAACTGAGCCTTAGACTGATGTTCACTTCATTTCGACAAACCTCGGCACTTCTTAGGGAAGTAAAGCAGTTATACGCCATTTTAAAGGACCAAACTGAATTTTAATTGACGTGATTCAGATTTTTTTTTTTTTTTTTTTTTTTTTTTTTTGAAAGCGGGAAATATTTTTAATCAGATTTTAATTGATAAAATATGAGTTAATGTTACTTTTTTATTAAACTGTAATTTGCGGCACATATATAATGAACCCCCTTAAACTGTTGCTTACATAAAATAAATATGCAATATAGTTATTTTAGCTCTTCTACCCTGATGTGATGGAAATCACCAAATTTCATCGTTACCAGTTAAACAAGATCCTACAAAATCAACATTTTCTCGTTCAATATAATCGAATTTATTAAATTAATAACTTATGCAAGAAGGGTTCCGTTGCCTAATATCGAAAGAATTACATTCAGTTCCTACTATAATTTCTTGCACAATTGAACAATATTAGTTTCAAGGTCTAAAATAGTAAACGGGTGAATCTCGCATAAAGTTTCCTTTTGAAATGAGATGTTATTTTCAGTTGATGAGCGTATATCAGCGAACTTGAACCGCAGGTACATTTTAACGACCATTACTGTTTCGACAGAAGGGGACACATTCCGATCTATCCATTGTACTCTGTTGAAAAGATACTGAGCTATCGTTATGTCGTAACTGCAGTTACCGGCTAACAAAAGATGCTTCGAATGAAACCAAATCATACTAATGCACAATTTTGTAGAATTTATCCCCTTTATAATAAATAATTAATTTTATTAGTAAAAATAATAGTACTTACAACAAGTAACAGGAAATTTCGAAGTTATTGTGCGTTTATATATCTGAAAGATTACAAAGAATGCATATTTTCTAATTTACCGGATTGATTACCATCGAGTCAGGATATATACGAGATTCTTATTTGCTAAGTTTGCCAGAAAATTCTAATTTTCTTTCCTTTAATTTATACGTAGGAGTATCTAATATAACATGAAGCTATGTTTTAATTCTTAAAACCTCATAAACATTATTAATCACTGGAGGAATATTTCTGTTGCCAATCTGAAGTAAAGTGCATTCACTCTAGAATTTTTACTATATGTTCACCTCTTGATTTATTCTTTCCAATGTCTACCGTACTGTTCATTATACATTCATGGTACTAAAAAAATAAAATATGAAACAATTCAAGAAACTTTCTGATAATGAACAGAACTATGTAAACTTTCTGATAATGAACAGAACTATAATGTAGAGTAATGTTCCTTAGTATAGAAATCTCAAAGCTGGTGAAAGACTAACTTAATATTATTGATATATAATACTAAATATAAACTTTCTTCTCTTGCCTCTGTTATCAAAGAATCAACAAGCAATTTTAATACTAAATATTTAACAATTATTATCAAGATCATCATCATTATTATAAAGATAATAGTACATATCTTTCATCTAATCTTGGCAGACCTCTTTCTGTTACAATAAAAGTTACAATAAACTGTTTATATACCGGGTGAGCTCAAAGTTCGTTAAAGCCTTAAAAATTTCATAAAAAAGGAAGAAATTACGATAAAGAAGTGCGGCTTGCAAGAAAGAGCTCACAAGGAAGTCGGATTTTTTTTAATCGGTAAAAAAAGTTTTAATTTCAAATGTCACAGGTAGACGGCGCTGACGACTCAAAACACAATGAACAGGACAACAATACGCTCCATTAATTTATTCTTTCAATAACAATTGTTCAACAGGGCCTCCAGAACATTGTACGACACAACTAAGGCGATTCATAACGCCTGTTACAGCTGAAATTGCGGAAACCCTACCACAAATAGAATCTTTGAGTTCGGCCGATGTTGAAGGGATGAACGGTACGCAAGTGATTTCAAATAGCCCCACAATCAGAAGTCGACCAGTGTGAGGTCGGGTAATCATGGAGGCCATGCGATCTTCCCACCTCGACTGATCACTCTCTTCACCAAAAGTACTCAATACGAGTCTTTTTACTGGATTGGCATAGTGTGGCGGTGCGCCATCCTGCATAAAGCTTATTACGGATAAAACACCTCTTTGGTTTGAAATTCTAACCTTGGAACATGAAATCACATTAATATCTCTTCAAAAAATAATCAGCAGGGCATTCAAGGCGGTCGTGAGATGTTACTGGTTATCTAGGTTCAATAAAACCACAAGAGTCGTGTTCTTTTTTCAGTTAACATTATGCTTATGGTTGTCAATAAAACTAATTCTACCAGTGCTTTAGTTTAAAATATTTAATGTTGTTTTATATTAGAATTCGAATTACTCGAATGACTGAACGAGAGCAAATATTCGAGTTTCAAATTTTTTTCCAGATCCATGGAATTCGAGAATTCCAATATCCCTGTCGTTAATTCAGATTATTAAGTTTGAATTAATGAAAATCTTCTACTTACTTCTTTTTATTTTAAGCTATATTTACGGTCTGTAAATTACTCTCATTCAAAAGTTAAAATTTTGAATGAGAGAAGAGAGTTCATGTGTTTTCCTGCGTCTTAATTCACATCATTTTTTGCTCTCTTTAAAACAAGTTTTCACAAACAGTGGCCCAGTCAAAGATTCCAGCTTAAGCGTAATGTGGGTTAAATAAATTAAGTATTGTTTAATTTAGTTCATAGTATACTTCTGCTGTAATTGTTTCATACTCAAAATTTGCACTTAAAGATTCTGCCTTCTTCTAAACCTTAGCTTGTATGTAAGTGGAATGACCTTTTTGTGAATGATGTGAGTGTTACGTAATGCATAAGCTCCGTATTGCGTTAATTAACAGTCTTCTAATTATGTAAGAAAAAAATAAGAGAGTAAAATTCTTTGGCTGTCGCTTATCCAGAATCCATCTATCTGTCATTCCAGGCAAGGTCGGAAGACTGCCTTCCTGGCCAACATCGTGGTTGCTGTCGTGTCCGGGGTGCTATCTATTTTTTCGCCTACCTTCGCTGTTTTTGCCATTCTTCGAACTGTGACAGGGTCGACTGTTCCTGCCAACTTCCAACTTCCATATATAATTAGTAAGTATCCTTTCTTCCTCGCTTCGATGCACGTCACCTAAGGATCGGCAATCACGTGAGCCCCATCGATACTCCGTAGCAACAGGCTTATTGCCAAAATAAATATTTAAAAATTTATGCAAAATTTTCTTGATTCGATGGAATCGCACACAGCACTTCTGGCCTTAAAACAGCTTTCATTTGTCAGCGTTTGAAACAATGAAATTAGAAAGAAGTACTATTGATCAAATTCATTCTATTTTTTAAAATGAGGATTTTAACAGAAGTGGCATTGTACTTTTAATTACTCTTCTTCCTTCAGTGCTTTTAATTAATAACATTACTTATATAATTAACTAGTGTTAGAACCAATATTTTTCTTATGCAATATGCATTCAAGTTTACTTAACGAAGCTTGAACTTGCAGAAATTTGGCATTTAAAATTAAATTTGTTCTAGAAAAATACTTTACAACAATATTTTGAAATATGTCAAATTGCATTCAATGATGTTCTCTTGAAACATTTCAGCTGTTGAACAAGTAGGTTCTCGTCAACGCTCTTTCCTTGTATGCATATCCTGGCTACTGTGGACATTAGGAGCCTGCTGCCTTGCCATGGTGGCTTACATATCAAGACACTGGACCACTTTGGGGTTGCTCACTACATTGCCTTTTGGTGCTTTCGTGGCATATAAAAGGTAAGTCAAATGCAAAGATTAAATATAAATAAAAATATATAAAAAAATAATTGTTTGATATGTAATCTTTAAGTGAGGAAGATTTAATGATCCGTTTAATATCATAAGAGTATGTTAGATAGCTCGTTACTCTCTCTCCATATATATAAACAATATAATGAATTTAAAATAAGAATACATATAACTCCTATGAAATTGTGCATATTTAGCCAATAACTTAAGAATTTCAATTTGAATCAATAGTTAACAATTATTATTAACCTGATTAGTTATGTTATATTATGTTATTAGTCATGATGTTATTAACCTGATTAACAATGCAATTTATGCACCTACTCCAATAAAGGTAAAAACAGAATAAATTTAATAAAATTTTAAATATTGTTATGATTAAAATAATTAAACTGAAATGATAAGTGAAGCAAATTAGGCATAGGTAATCTCCTGTCTGTCAAGCAAGAGCTAGCAGTTAAAGCAAATACTATTTAAAATTACATTCAAAATGAGTAAAAAGTTTAGTTAATTTCAGAAAAATGAACTGCTGAAATGTCAATAAGACAATACCGACTCATCAGGGGGAACGAGCTTATCTCACCTTACCTTCAATTGTTCACACACCGTGTTTCGTCCTTCCCATGCATATGTAATCTTAAATTTTTTTATAATTTTTAATATTAACAATTCTTTCAAAAATCAGCAAATTCATATACATGTTAAGAATTCCCCTACACGATGCATCATCTCTTATTCAAATTGAATTAAAATTACTAAACGCACATATTGCCAGAAATATGTCTTCTAAAAGTTACATGGAATAAACACTATTTTTATGTTATGTTACATGGAATAATCACGTAATTACAAAAATTTATAAAAATGACTAATTCACTTCTTAATTGCCAAAGTATTCAATTTAATCAATAGTATCTTATGTAAAATTATGGAAATAAGGCCAGAAAAAATTTTTAAAGTTCCAATTAACTTACCACTTGTTGAAATTAACAGAACAATTTTCTGTTTGTGGTTTTCTTCAACGTGTAACTGGTCGAGATCTAAGGAAGGGTTAGATAGTGCTACTATTTCAGTTCGTGAAGTAATAATCTATTTTTAAAATTTCTGACAATAGTCTTGAAACAGGAAAAAAGGAAAGCAACAGAAAAAAATCTTCCCGCAAATCGAGCTCTAATTGCGACTTCAGAAATTATTCGGCTCTGTTAATATAAGTATAGCAGCTAGAAATAGAAAGAAATTTCAGAAAATATTTTATAGTTATACATTTTTACAAATCCTCTAGTCTAAGCTATCCAACTTTCGAATAATGCCTTCATATTTCCTACACTAAAGATTAAATTTTTAAATTAATACCTACCTTTTTGAAATAAAATTTGATAAAACTTGAAGGAACTTGGTTATCAATTAGAATATTAATAAGTATTGAAATTTCACTTTTAAGACCTTTAATTTCAATACAGATATTCCTAATCCTTTTAAGCTGACTGAAAAAAAGTATTTCCTATTACTTTTTTAGAAATACTGGAGTTACAATTGATCAGTTTAATGGTTGTGAATTTAAATTCTCTTCTTTTGCCAAAAATCGTAATAGTGCGATGATTAATAATTTGTTAGTCAAGATAGTCTGTTATTGTTGATAAATATTAGTAGTATGAGACAGCTAGGTAATAGCTGTCTCATAATACTATTATACTATATTATATACTATTAGTAATATGAAACAGCTAGGTAATTTGTTGATGAATATTAGTAGTATGAGACAGCTAGGTAATTTGTTGATGAATATTAGTAGTATGAGACAGCTTTTTAACTTCTTTATCGCCTTATTATTATTGAAAGTAATTTAATCATCTATGTACCTCTATGTTTTAGCAAACAGTTTTAATTTAGGTTTACTTAATCTCAGTTGAAATTTATATTCTTTCATGAACAGAAATCAATTACAAATCTGTGTCGGGCTGTTAGATCCCATTGGAATAAGTCTGACCTGTAGATAAATGCTATTATAGAACTTAATAAAGTTATTAGATAATGTACATTGTAGGAATGTTTTTTAATTTTCAGTACTGATAACTGAGTAACTTGTGAAAATAATTTTGTAATTTCTAGTAGACTGTTGAAAATTTCTTTAAGAGTTGAAGAAGTGCAAAGTTTTTCAAAATCATAGCAGTTAATTTCATGAATGATCAATTTGTTAATAGTGTTTATTATTGGCAGGTTATTGTAAATGATCCATCTATTATTGCGTTCTCGGTTAATTGAATTATGCATAAGCGTGCAGATTTTCTTAAGCTTTTGTGCAAGTATGTAATTAATAGTTTTCTTGTAATTGTTGGTACCGTTTGCAATGATCTAAATTTAACTGCTGTTTTATGGAATTTCGGCCGCGCATAAAGATTAGCCAATTTGTTGCAATTAGGAAGTTGTGCAATTTTTTAGCTTTTTCTTAATGCCAGTAATTTTTTAACAATCGCTGGATCTTTCAATTTTGTGTGCTAGTAAGTAGTTGAGTTTTTCAGTTCTAATTCCAACAGCACAGCATAAAACTGTCTACGTATAATGCTAAAGTTGTTGCTAGCTTTATCTATTTTGGTTGCTAGCTATATCTATTTGTTGTTTTAAATCTTGAATTTGTTGCTTAACTTAAGTGCAATGTAGGTTGCTAGTAAATTCAAATTTTGAGTTCGAAGTTTGATTTGAGCAATGACCGCTGACCTCCATTCTATAAAAGTTGCATTAGGAAGATTTAATCTATAGTTAGCTTTTAGAATAAATTCGTTTATATTTGCTATGATCCGGTTATCGCCTGAAGTTTTGTTGATAATCAACACTGACCTATCTCCTAGGAAAGAAAGTTTAAAACTATTATAAATTGAAACTGGGAAATGTTACTAATTAAGAGGATTTATTTTTTTGAAACTATTAAAAACTTATAATATACTTTAAAGAAGTTTAAAATTTGTAATGCTATGCACTAAAATCGTACATTTTAAAAAAGAAAAAAATAGTACACACATAAAAATAAGGTATAACATAAAAAAGCAAGTAAATTACTGTCGATTTCCCCAAGCATTGTTGACTTATCAATGAGAATTAACCCTTCCCCCAAAATCCGCAATAATTTGGATATGAAAGCAATAATTTGGATTGATATTAGCTTAGCTTTGTATCTTACATCTTCTCAATATTGCGCTTTTATAAAGTACTGTGCATTTTATAGAGCACTGTGCAACAGTTATTGTAACTAACTCGTATTACTACCACCCATAATATATGCATCCATTACATTCTTTTTACCACTAATGACACGGCGATTATTGATATTATCTTTCAAATGCAAGGCATTTGTTGTAAAAATCTTGCGGAAAGTTTAAACATTAACAAATGTGAAAGTGTACGTAACAGAAATACTCTATAAAGTTGCACATAAAACTTGATTTTGCAGTTTTATGCTTCAGATGTGCAATGTTTTTTAATGTCATTATTCCATATAATTTACTCAGTAGGGCCTGATGGATAATTTGACGCCCCCTTTCACCACATCTGATGCCATTTTATTATTTTATATCTATCGTCTGTCAAAACAGTTGTCTGTTCATCAAAGTCATTTTCCTTAGTACGTTTAGGACACGGACCTTAAGACGAAAGCCATAATATCATTATGCAGTAATTTAAAGAATATATTCAACGAGCTGGGAAAATACATGTGTATAATCTATCACGAAAGCTGGTAATGATGTTACATGGCAGAAGTGGTAGATTTATTGCAATAACTCTTTAGAAATAAATCTTATGTGTGGTTTATAATGTACTTCCATTAGCATACATCCAAACGTTAATAATGCTTAAATTTGAAGAAGCTTTTTATAATCATCCCCAATCAGCATAATAAATCAGAACTTTTCTAATTCCTTTCAGTTGCTACTACATGTTAGTGAGCATATAAAATCTGACTTGGCAAGTTTAGCAAGTACATAAAAATTTATTGGCAGAATTATAATATTTTTTAAAAATAGTGATCGTTATTGAAAATAGGACTTAATGGTATTACTTAATGGTATTACTCTTGACACAATTTAAAATCATGTGTTATGGAACATTTCAACAAAAAGTGTCGGGTAATAAAAGCATAAAAATATTTTAAGTCTTCCAAGATGTAACCTCAGATAATATTTAATATTAATAGATATTTCTGAGATGTAACCTCAGTAATGTACGCTTTGTATAATGCTTATTAAAGTTTGTAAATCTGCAGAAATCATGAAGTAATTAATTGGTACAAATACTTTACCAATATTTTTTAAAAATATGTATCCTTTTGATGATTACGAAGTAAGTTAAGTTATTCATTTGTCGAAAACACTACAAATTTTATAATGCCGTTGCTGTGAAAAATAATGTTCAGTCACGCACTTTAATGTGCGATGTTAAACTGATATTTTTGAGACTGTAGTTTAAATTTTGGAAAGGATAACTTAATTAATAACTTCCATTAATGACGAGATTTTTTTTTAAATAAACGATATTTCTCTAACTTTCCGAGGCGTAGCTCAATAGCTTTCATTTTTATAATTTCAGGCATGCAGAGGAAGATGTTTTGAGGATTTAAGCTTCAATTTTTTCAAAGTCCATCATATTTTCACATCATTCCTTTGCAAACCATTGAAAAGCTGACCGTCTCTGCATTTACAAAATATTTCAAAGGCTAACAAACCCTACAATCTGGCGTTGCAGGTAAACTCCGTGAGCAGAATGATGGCATGCTACGGAATATATGTGTAGCAGATCATTTTTCTTCATAGCTGAAGTTCGTTGAACGGTAAGAATGAAGTGTGCAACGGCAGCGTTTAACAGGCATTCCTTTCCATTTCAGAATTAATCAAAATGGGTGGTTAGCCTTTTATAATTTGAACTGCAGGTTGTTGTGAAAGAAAATTCACCTTCTCATTGCTAAATATAAATTTTATCCTTTCAGTTATTTGAAACAGTCACCAAGATATCTCATGACTCAAGCTCGTTGCGAAGAAGCAGCTGATGTGATTGAGAAAATTGCAAAGATAAATGGGTGCAAAGTTCCGTCTGAGTTGTTACCCAAATTAAAAGTAATGAAAAATTTCGCTACTTCTTTAAATTAATTTGCTGCATCTTAAGAGTACAGTTTTGATGTAGCTGAGAATATTATCTTACTGTTTCAGTAATACAATATTATATAAAATATTATTATATATTGTAGAAGATTCTAAGAAATGTCCGTATTCACCTCTTTTATTTTGGAAAGAACGGTCGAAAATTGTTTATGTTACATCTATCTGTAATAAATAAATATGCCGCATCGAATATTGCTTCAACATATCATGGTTAGAGATACCAGTTCTGGCATATTTAATAATTGTCATATGAGACGAATATTGTGTTGACTAAAACATTTTCCCATTCACTGAAGTATTAAATGTACTTTTCTCATTGCCTTCATGCCTAGACTTGAAATAGCAAAGGAATATCTTAAGACAGCCTTCGGAGTTACTATATAACAGCTTAACCTGTAGGCGTATCAGATCAAGAATTTTAGCCATTTGTACAATGCGAAGCACTTTTAATTTGGGATATCCAAATAAACTCAAAATTTCTGATACTATGCTACTCGTCGAAACATTATCATGAAATAATATCTTATGACATAGCTCTAAAAATCCTTCCAGGTGGTATGTTCACTTCTTTCTGTGCAGTTGTACTCATATCACAAAATAATTTGCACTCGTTCCGCTGTCTCCAAGAAGCGTGAAACACAGCAATATATTAGTCAGGCCTAAACACTTAGATACTCGAGCAATTCCGTGGAGGCCGTGTTTTGGTATATATTTTTGCCAATCCAAGCTTGAGCGCTTGACGAAGTATAGAAAATTACATACATGTAGAACATTTTGAGCAAGCATGGTAGTATTCATCACGCATTTTAATATAATATCATTGGATATGACGTTCTTAATGTCTGTAATCATGTTAAAACACACATAATGGTTTCTAAAGTTAGTTTATATCCGATGAGGTATAAAAGGTAATATTTTCGTCCGAAGTCTCAGTATTCGTTCTATAACCGATTTATATTTGATGAAATATAATTATTAATATTTTTTGCGTTAGCGAATGTTTGGATGTAGAGTAATAGTATTCAGGTGTTTCAATAAAAGTTTATAGTCGATATTTTTCTTTTTCTCATTGTCACTGTTGCGTTAGATATGGAAGCTTCTTAATTCCCCACCCTAAATCACCCTGAAGTAACTTTTATTCTATCAAGAATGTTAATAGACAGATCGAATGTGTACAATCTCAGCTCTTTCATTCCTCAATAAAAGGGATGTTTATGCATTTTCTTTTGGATCCTGTATGCGCCTATCACATAACGAGTGTGCCCTTCGTTTTCTGTAAAAGCTGTAGCTAGACAGCGGGATAAAGACTTGACGAAATTTAGTATTTTCGAAATGATATTGTCATCTAGCAATTCAAAAGCATTTGTAATTCATCGACAGTTGCTTGATGAATTTCTTAGGTTTGACTAATCTCTCTGGTACACGTCTTGTAAATCTTCTTTCAGATCACGATCGAGCGATGAGGGATTTTCGAGTGTTGTAAACTCATGTGAATTCTCCTATAGTCAATTGTTTGCTTTCTAGAATAATATGATGTGACATTATCTTGCTAATAAGTGATATTGTAACGGGAAGCGAAATTTTTTAAGATCAACTAAGAAATCTACAAGGTATATATAGCTTGAGCTTGTAACAAAAGCCTTAGCTAAAAGAGGTTCCGAGGAATCTAATATAACTATTTTTCCCAATTGTCATATAGTTTCTGATTGTTTATATACAACTGGTAAGACACATTCGACGGAGCATTTCGTGGTTTGGGTGCACATGCATTTACTCAATACTGTAGTGAATCTGAAAGTATGCTTACGTAAACTCAGATGATATATTTGCATTTTCTCATTTTCGTTGCCGTAATTTGTTTGTTTGTTTGCAACATCTTTGGGCTGCAGTGATCAGTATAGTGTTTAGCGATGTTGGCTGTCATGTGATTGGGCCCATATTCGAAGTTCAGAAACGTATAGGTGTGTGTAAGTTTATACTGTGCGGCATGAAGGCACTTAAAATAATAGCTAACTGAAAGTCTTTTCGAAAGATTTGGTGGTAAGTAAAATGGAGTGGGAGATTCTCGGGCCGTACTCTATCAGTACTGGTGCCGAAGTGAACAGTTACTAACGTGGGTCTATACCTATAACAACCAATGGTGAAATTCTTGTTCTCCGCATACTTGCACTTGTACTAGTCATGCATCAATTGACATTCAGAAACCTTTTAACTTTTTGTGATAGCCAGAAATTTTTTAATATCTGAACCAGAAGAAATACCTTAGTACAATCCGACAAAAAATAGTCAATAATTACCTAAACAAGTTCAGAAATATTCAAATTACAGCAGCTATAGATATCATCCATAATTCATTCATCAGGAGCTGCTCGCAGATTTCATGATTTGGATGCGTTCTATGAAAACTTAGACTGAACTCAGCACTGTCAGTATTCAAAAATGACGCCATAAGCACATCAAACACTCTGTAATGACTTACTACTTAAAGTTGCAGGTAGCTGTTGTGAGAAACTAGTTAAAAAAAAGAAAAAAATCTGACAGTCAGAGTTAACTGACAGTTGTATGACTACTATTCATGCAAAATAGTATATTAGTACGTAGTTCACTTCGATTACTTTTACCACCTCAATGACCTCTTTCGTTGGAATGCTGGTAGACGTATGAAAATTCTAAATATTCTGTAGTTTCAGAAATAGAGCAACCAGTCTGTGGCACCTACAATCAGGCTGAATCAAACGTCCTGATATTTCTTACTTTACCAAAATTGCATTCCTTCATTTATTTTCTAAGGCATATAACTCAGAATCAGTTTAAACCTGATACGTGAATTGATGCAGCTCTTCTGTTTCGCGTATTATTATCAATGCGCAATAAATAATATGTCGTTTCAATATAGTTATTTAATTCATAAATCATTTCAAAAGTGTTCAAAATCGCTACAAAATTATTATATTTGCAATGTAATTAAATATGTTCTTGTCATAAAAGCAATGTGCGTTTTTGCTTAAGTAAGTCGAAATTATTTTTCTCCTATTTCAGAAAATCAGTGAAAATGTAAAGAGTGACGGTGTCAATGCAACAAATGAATCCATGTTAGATTTATTCAAATACCCTCAACTTAGGAAAAAATTGTTTGTTGTAACTCTGAATTGGTAAGTTCTTAGCTATATTTTTAGAATACTTCTAATCAGTAATTTTAAAATGCTTCTGTTCGTAATATGTAAATGTCAAAATCTTAATCCACAAAATTCTTAGTTGCAAATTGATAAATATATTAGCTAAGAAAATATCCACCTATAATGAACGAATCAATATGTAATTCAATATAAAAACGGAAGAATATTCATATGTCTTACAAAGAATTGAACTGCCATCCTTAGAAGAGAATTGCTGAACCTCAGATTTGTAGTCAAACCACTTGGATTAGAATTAAACAAATATCTTCAAAATAAAAATTGGGATAATGATGTACAATAGAAAGTAGCAAGCTTTATACACACTTTCCTTAAAGCATACATGCGGAATTTTGCATTTGCCTGGCTTGGTTTATACGCATCGCCTAATTTCAATAAAGCAAATATGAACAAAATTGCTGGTCACAAGTTATTAATCATTCTTTTGAACTGTCTAGTAAAGGGATTTATTCTTGCTTTTGCTGTTCAATTATAGTAAAATCACTTCATTTACTTTCAACGCAAGCTAATAAATTCAAGGCATTCCACATAGAGCATTTAACTATCAAATGATAAAAAGACATGATATCTACATAAGGTGAGATTCCACTTAGATTATTTATCTAACCCTCCTTTTGCATTTTTTTTCCCTGCATACACACACTCGATAGCAACAATAATTAACTTTAAAAAAATTAAATTGTGAAAACGTTAAATAACAGACATTTTAATTTAAGCATCGGCTGTGTTAGCACAAACATCTGGCGCATGTAAAAATAGATCTTCAAACTGTTAAGAATGAATCCATAAGAAGGGTAGATCTGAGGAAAACAACTGTATCTCTGATTAGTCTTCCACCTAATAAATTCCTTCTAATGCTTTACATATCTTGGCACGTTCATATAGTTTCTAGATTTTTTTTTAGAAAACCAGCTCTTGAAACACTTCTGCCTCACTAATGGAGGAAGTGGTTAAAACCACTGAAAACTGGCAGTTGACCTGGTTTGTGTTCGATCCCAGATGAATGGTTGGTTTTTGTGGTTTTTTCCATGTGTAACTTGAATACCAGCCAGTTTCACTCAGAACGTTTTCCACGAAAGCGTCCCTCTTCTTAGGCAGATAGCCTTAATCAAATCTTGATACACTTCTTTAAATTGCCGTCACAATTTCCTGAATTCCTTAAATTTTTATAAATTAGACCCTTTAACGTGAGATTTATCTTAAAGGGTCATAACGTAGTACGCAGATACCAGATCTGGCAAATGAGGATGATTAAGAACAGTTACATGCTTGCAATAATATGCATGTAACAGTTGTATTAGACGAAGGAAACTTGCTGTTAGTCCGTCGTTTTAAAATAGATAGTTCAAGGTCATAATGACTTCCTCTTCATTTACTTTTTTTTTGTTTTGTTTTTGTCTGCGATGTATGTCGTCATGAGAGCATTTCAGCAAATTAGAGGACACGACCATTTGCTGCAGACGTCGTTGGCCTGGTTACAACACAGTCAAAAGAGGAGAAAATAATCTTGGGGGGGGGGGAACTATAATCATGGAATCTATAACGGTAGGTGTCAAGCGCGTATAATCAAACGAAGATTCTGTTCAAAGTTCTTCCAGTAAACAGACGGTATTTCAGGAGCAAGATACATGTCTCAGTAGCAATTTACACTGTTCATCATTCAGTAACTTTATAAGGTATTTCTCCCACCTTCTTGGCATGTCTTCAAGGTGTGGTGGTCTGCACGCTGGGGTCGTATTCCAGAGGTCCGCGATTCGATTCCCGACGAAGGCGTTGCTAATTTTTTAGCTTTTCTGCTTCCAAAAAGAAGAACCTAATGTCTCTACAACTTAATTGGGTTATGTTATAAAAATTTAATTTAAAACTTTCTAAACGCACTGTATTTGAATGTTGCGTGTTTCTGAAAGATGTATTCAATTGCGTATGTCATTAGCTTCTTGGAAGTTCAGCGACAATTTGGGAGGAACGGGAGCTTCAATTCTGGCCTGACATGTTCAATTCTGCTTCGTGAAAAAAGAACTTGAATACACTTCTGTTTTGTTTTATATTTTAGAGCTTTATTACATATCACGATTAATGAATGCGTAAAAAGCAATCTTTTCAACGTCCGGATGAATCCCGCGAAAAAACGTTGAATGCTGGTAATTCGGTCCAACTTACGAATCCCGGCTAGCGGGTTGGCTGATTGCGTGTTTTTGTGATTTTAGGCATGTGTATTACGGAGTTCCGCTGGATGAATACGTGATAAGCGGGCGTAACCGGTCAAAACGTTGAACGCTGGTAGTTCGGTCCAACTTGAATCCCGGCAACACGCTGATCTATGTGTGTCAGTGATTTTCCGAATGTGTAACGTGTATGCATTATCTTTGGATGCGCAGGGATAAAGCAGGGGGAACAAGCGCAAAACCCCTGAACACGGTAGTTCGGTCCAACTATGGGATAACGGTCAAATTTAACATTGGAACTCTTATACACGTCAACAATTAAAAGCGGGCTTCAGCCCGCTCAGCTGGCGGGCTTGCCCGCCATTGTCAAGCTTCATTTGATTCAGTTCAGAGACTTTCATACTCTCCCTCTACGATTCTGGAGTTTGATGTAATACCTTCTTTTTGTGTTTGCTGCAAATTTTTTTAACTATTTAAAATACAAAAATTTCGATTTTATTTGAAATATAAAACAGAATTCGAATACAGGTGAACCGTCATTAAGAGGTTGAAAATGGAGAAGCTGATGAAACATATCCCGTGTTTTAGCACGATTTTAGAGCTGATTGTGGTTTCAGAAACTATTAAATTTTACAAAATTGTATCCCTAAATCAAAGAAATCCATCTCTTAATTGGAAATAATTTTACAACAATGGAAACAAGTGTTTAACTGAGGATATCGTTAAATCGAGATCAGACTGTATTTATAAAAGCAGGAGAAAATTTAGATTTTTTACTGAAAAATGGGACGGACGAGACATTGCAGTAAAACAGGAAATTATGTTTAGTCTAGATAATAAAGCACAAATGTGCAGCTATACGGATAATGTTCAAGCATACGTACAATTAACTAAAAGTTATTCACTGTATTCAGTATCATCTGCAAAAACGAACGTTTTTGCAAATGATGTTGACGAACATTTAAACGTTACTCAGGAAAACTCGTCATTATTTTTCGATTGTATCATTGAAACATCTTTTGACTCAATTTTTCTGTTTATCTAGGACTGCCATCGCCGTTGCTTACTTTGGATTGACCCTCAACGCGACAAATCTGGGAAAAAATGATTTTCTGAACTTTTTCTTGCTGTCTGCTGTTGAACTGCCAGCTTTCCCGTTGGCTCTACTAATGATGGAAAAAGTCGGTAGACGTTGGTCGAATACCGTTTTCGTGCTTTTTACCGGAGTTGCTTGTTTAGTTCCATCGTTTTTGACTAAAGGTAAGCTAAAGTTATGCATCTGAATGCTGCGGTATATAAATGAGTTAAATTTAGAAAGTACTCTCATTAATCTACCCCAGAAAAGATCGTTAGGTTTCTCAAAAACTAAATAGAATCTTTCGTTCGAGATCTTGCTGTCAGTAGATTATTTATTATTCAGAAGTAAAGCAACTCACAAAAGAGATATTTACACTCTTAAATTATTAAATTACATTTGCATATTATAATATAAAGATACACTACTGCTGATGAAATACACTAAATACATGCATTGGTTATAATACTTATAAAGCCCTTTTTCTAGCCTAAAGGAAAAGAACGGATGAGCAATAAAGAGGAAACATACGCTCATGAAAGTCAAAATAATAATTTGCATAAATTTCGTTTCTCGTGTTGTTTACATTATGCAATAAGGAAATCTCAGTTTCCCTTCAAATATTTACAGTTGGAAAATTGCTATATAATAACCAATAATTATCAATGTTCGATATAGATAGGTTAAGTCCTATGATTCTGTATTGCTGAAATTTCGTGAAAGGGAAAATTTCGTAAGTCATTATTTTAGATAGCTTGTTATCAGAATAAAAATCTGATGACTCGGTTCTACATGAATAGTAGTGTACAACAGAACTTCTAGTACCAGTACTAATTTGCCCATAACCTTTTCATATGCAGCGAAACCTCGGTTCACGAACTTAATTCGCTCCTAAAGATAGGTTGTCATCTGAAATAATTGTAAATGGAAACAATGTTTTCTTAAGAATCGACGTAAAATGAATTAATTTGTTCCCGGATCCCAAACGATTGCTTAGAGAAGAGTACTTTATATATAAGTTCGTGATGCAAAACCAATAATATTCTTTAAATGTAACAAATACGCAATGTTAATATATACACAATATTTACATATAAAAACGATAAACAAATATATAAAATATAGGAAAACTTGAAGTAAATGTTACTCTATTTCTACAAAGGAAAGTTGATGGAGTAGAAAATTTTGAAGAAGCCGAATGTGCAAAATGTTATAGTTTGAAAAGGAAATCCTCATCCATAAAAATATCAGGTAGATGCCGTCTCTCTAAGTTTTACTTTTTCTTTCCTCTTTTTCTTAATACTCCTCGCTTCTGTTTAAGAATCACTAAGCCCTTGTCCCATTAAAAATTCTTCCACTGGTATTTGTTTCTGTCTATGTTTTTAAAATGTTTCTAAACCAAGAAATTGCAAATATTTAAGCTACGGATTACTACTGCTTTATCAGGTGATAATGTGCTATGAAACTTTGCATTTTACCCTATTTTGCACAAATGTCGTGGATTAAATAACTAGGACTACCCTTCCTTCTTTTTTCTTTTTCTGAAGATATTTCCACTATGCATTAACTGCATTTTCAAATATCATATGCTGCCGGCTTACTTTTTCATATGTTCTTTGTCATCCAAGAAATTTTTCATTCGGAAAATTTGCTCGTAAGCCAAATTGTTCGTGATCCAAGGCATTTGGGAACTAAGGTTCCATCTCATTAAGAAAATCCAAATAATTATATTATCTTTATCTGTAAACTAAATACTAAATGGCTGTAATGCAAGGGAAGGAATTTTATTTTTTCGTTAACCTTATTTTATTTCAACGAAGATTATGCAGCTAAAAAAATTGAAATCTTTTATTTACTAAAATACATGCAATTTCCCCTTCACATAATTCTACAGTGGCGACTAAAATTGTGGACACTTTTGGAAATTTTTATGTTTTTGAACTTTGTATGCTTATAGAAAACGTTACGTTTCACAAAATGCAAACTTGTATATATCATTTTAAAGAGATTTATTACTGAATTCAATACAAAAACACAAATTCAATTATTTGCAATACAAAAAAAGTTAAACGAATAATAGTTATCGATATACATTAGATAGTGATGATTGCAGTGAGTTATCAGTACTTAGTAGGGTACCCTTTATTTTTTATTACAGCTTCACATCGACGTTTCATTTAGCTGACAAGAGTTTTAAGCTCTTCTTTCGTTATTACGTGATGCCAGGAAACAATTATAGCCTCAATTAGTTCCCTTTTATTTGATGGGCGCCTCATTCGGACAAGAGTTTTCAAACGGTGCCACAAGAAGGAATTTTTTTTAAATATTTTTATAAACATCCAAGCCTTTTCAACTGCTGATTAAAGCACTAAAATAGTCTTTTATGAAGGAGCTAAAGCTAAACACATAATTTTGTAATTATTTCTAGTGGAATAAAATTAAATAAGGAAGATATTTTTGATTTGCATAAAACAAATCTTATATTTTATTTCTGTTCAACATGTTCTGTTATAGGTTCCATTATCTGTCGAACTTTTTTTGGAAGTGGTGGCCATTTTATTGTGGAGGCACTTAATAGGCGGCAACCGTTATCTCCTATTGAGAGGATAGACATCCATGCTTTCTCCGGAGTTCGAACCCGAGCCCTTTGGTATCGCAGTCGGTCTTCCCTAAGCATTATACCGTCTGGGCGGCTGTCGAATACTATAGGCCATCTTCTAAATTAAATTAATTTAAAAAAAAATTCTGTATTGTATTATCGTTTTGTTCTACTTTAATCAGTGAGGGAAAAAACACACAAATAAAGTAATATCAAGTTTACTTGGCTTAACAAGCAATCTAAGGAATTAGATAACTGAATATTTATTATGCTCGCTATTATGAGCGAATTTTAAAACATGGATAAAAATTTAATTATTCAAAAAGAACTCTATTTTGAGAAATTTATCTCTGATTAAAAAAAAGAAAATCTTATGGAAGACTCAACCATTGTGATGTTCATGTTATAGGGCAGTTTTATAATTGATGTGAAAACTGAATTATTTTCATTACTAGATATGGGAACATCCGCCATTGCTGCATCTATGATGGGTAAATTCGGATCGGCAGCAGCATTTATGGTGACCTATCAGCAAGCTGCTGAACTGTACCCCACCTCAGTCAGAGCTTTTGGTATGGGCATTGGATCCGTTGTGTCTTCGCTGGCCGTGATATGCATGCCCTACGTTTGCTATCTGGTAAGAATGCTGTTTTAACTCTTATTACAGTAATAAGAAATTAATTTCCTTCTTTGTAATTTATTCAAACACTCTATAACCTAGTAGAATTTTGTAAATGATAAAGTAAAAGTCATATAATTTCATTGTGATACACTTAAAGGAATTATTGAAATCATGACTTTTAAAATTTTGTTTATACTTTTCATGTAATGAAAGAAAAATTTTACTGCTAACAGAATATTTAGTCAGATAATATTATCGAAGGATTTTATATCACATACCCAAATTTGCCTCCTCCTCCCCCCGCGAAAAAAAACTGGCATTTGGGGAGAGGTGTCATATTTATTTGGAGGCCGCTTGTACTACCGAATTTTTAACTTAGTATGAAGATCATTTAAGTAGTTAATCGTAAAATTTGAATTATTTGCTTTGTAGTTTCCAAATAATATTTCTGTAATTAACAAATATTTCATTTATTTTTTACTTTCAACAGGATGTTTTTAAACTTTATTAAATGTTATCTTTATTGAGATATAAATTATTGAAGTTACCTTTTGAAACATTGTTATCTTTTTCTCGCAGAGTGTTTATAACAAAGCTATTCCATTCTTGATGATTGGAGCGCTGTGCGTTTCAGCTGGCTTAACTGCTCCTCTCGTACCAGAAACACTTAACCGAAGATTGCCCCAAACTGTACAAGACTCTGAGGAATTTGGGACAGGCAACGGATGCTTGCCATGCTGCAGGTAGCTTTCTAGCTCTTAAAAATGAAAATTATTGTGTTTATTATATTCATTCGTAAACGCCGTAACTGCTTTTGTGTATAGTTCTATGTTAGCTAACTTTTGTCATGTATTCGAAAATTTCGTACCTTAAGCAAGGTTTGATTCTAATACTGTTGTAAATTCAAGCGGCCATCCAGATGTTTGAAAATTATCTTGCCTTTTATTTATATAGCAAATATTTATATACTGTAATGCAAAAGATAGAATTCAATTTTTTTTCCATCCATCGTATTTTATTTCGGGAAAAGTAGACTAGAAAAAGCTTTACTTATGGATAAAATTAAACAATAAACTCCAGATGACAGCACATCCAGAGTCACTATTTAAGTTGAAAATTATTTCACCAATGATGCCATCAGTGTTATTATCGGCCCGTTTCGTAAGTGCCAGATCAGCTCTAGAATTATCGTCAAGTTCACGTTTACTTCTCCCATACACTTTGTGGCTCTTACGTTTCCGCGATTGCTTTTAATATGGCATCAGAAGCAATTTCTTATCCCAAGGACTTTTGCTACATGAACTCTTCAAGGTAAAACTCATGATAACTGACCATGCCTCGCTGATTTTTACTGATGCCCTTATTGGAGTGCCACAGTCTTTTTGCGTATGAATAGCTGCTGAGAGATGAACAAAATGAAATTATGATTCACAGTAAAATATCTCTAACCTGCTTTTTTCCAGTTCCTCTATTTTATATGCTGCCAGTAGTCTAAATAAATCATCAATCCCTTATGTACATGGTCAGTGATTTTTGCCATGAGTGTGGTTGCTTCTCTATTCGGAACTTGAACAAGAAAGAATTCACTATTTTTTTTTTTTTTTTTTCACAAAAAAAAACAAATATCAGCATTGGGAAATTTTCCAATAGCCACAGTGAGAAAAACTCTGCTGGTTTCGTTTTTTCTCGTACAAACAGATTTTCGTTTTTTCAAGCCCCCCTGTTCGCTTATTTGGTTGTCAGATTAGATCCAGAGCAGCGGTTCCTAAACTTTTCCCTTTCTCTTAGTCCTACATAAGACTTATATTTCAAGAGCCCCCTAAGTTTTCTTTTTTCTCTCCCGCGACATTCCTGTAGTATACTACTGTATTATTACTAAACAAACACATTATGACGTTCCCACGTTACCAGCTTGTTTGCCAGTACTCGAATTCCCGGCTAAATAAACAGTTTTCAGCGATTTTTACTTCTCGGCCTCTGGTAGAACCAAAGGTTTATTGAAAGCTTCATAAACATAATCTTCATGCGAAAGGAGCACTTTATTACGTAGTTCTTTCTGCGTCTTCCAGGTAGAGGATTTAAGGTAATGTTACTTTAATCGTCAATATAGAAAAGATAAATGGGTCATACTATGTTACTTGGATAGTTCTTTATTATGATGACTTCAGTTTTGTTAATGGCGCTCCAAGATTAACTCCAAGATTTCGATAATCTTGGCGCCACTCAAACGATCTTCAGATGTTTGGCAGTCATAATCGTGATTATTTGTAATTTGCTCGTGCTGAGAAAAACTTCAGGTTAACCATGTATTATCATATTTTCTTTTTTCATATTAATGTAGACAATAGATGATTAACTCATAATTCTCTCGTTACGACAAGGGTTCTGGTTTCATTTTCCGAAAAAGTATTTAAAATATTTGATTTACCAAGAAGTTAGGAATATGATATGTCTTCCTAAAACGGCGCATTTTACCTCGAATTTTCGAATTTGAATTTTCGAAAATGGCCATTAAATAAAACTACACATGAATGAAAGCATTTGGAGCTGATTCAGTGGTTTCAGAATACGGTTTGTGATAGCGCAGCGATTTATTTACTATTGGACAGAGACACTGACATCGATTAAGTGGTGGGAGAAGTAAGTAGCTATTGACTGGGGAAAATTTTATGAGAGAGGTATATTCTATAGATCGGAGGTTCCCAACCTGTGGTACGAATTACCCTGATGATATGTGACAGCTTAATCAGGGGCACGTGAAAAGCAGCATTGGCGAAAAAGAATAAGGGGTTATGATATATGATGCGAGAAAAGCAAAATATTTTGAAAGCTGAAATTCATCATTGAAATAAAGAGAAATTAGTTTTCCCTTTTCTTCTTAAAATAGTATTTGACTGAATGAAACTTGAATGCTGTCAAAGAGGCATATTTCTTCGTATTATACTTTCGACTGATTTTAGGTAGAATTTCAATAACAGAACGTGAAAGCATAACTCGGAAGGCATTAAAAAAATTTTTTTTTGACTTACCTTGTAGAAAAAACATTCTGAACTCCCACGTTATACTTAAAACAATTATCGTAGCAAACAGAATGCTGTTTCCGATTTAAAGCTGTTTCAGATTTGAACCTGACTTCAGAAAATTGTGCTGAGCAAAGCAGGCTCAAGAATAACATCTATAGTAAGGCTTGAATAGTAATTCAAGACGACTTAACTAAGGTTTTTACAGAGTTTTTTTTATTAATTTTTAGATATATAATACGATACGTTTGTGTGATTCATTTTTGTATCCAACTGTAATAATTTTAGACATGTAATATGATATAACATTATTAACTTTGTGTTCAAGTGTAACGGTTATTAGAATTTTTTTACACTTCCCCGAATCAGTGGGGGGGGGCGAGGTATATTTTAGTTTAGACACTTGATGGAATAACGAAGCACACTTTATTGGCCAGTATTATCCAAGAAGGCTCCAATAACACGTTTACAGTCGTCGAAGAACTACTATAAACACGCTGACACAATCAGCGACACAGCCTTCACACTATCAGGCTATAATGGTGGAGATAGCTTCACGGCAAAGCATCAGATTACAGCTCCCGACTCTCCTCGGTTGTTCTCGGAACTCTATGTACTCTCGATACTCTCCACGCTACAACTCGCGGTGCACTCGACGATACATAAGAGTACAGCTCTCAATTGGTTTCAGTCGTTCTCGAAGCTCAGCACACACTAAGACAAAACTCGACGATGCACTAACTTGCGATACACTAAAGACTCTCTCGATGCACTCGACGACCAAGTCGGCGCTAGACTTCGAGACACTCGCTCAGTGACTGACTATCAGCTCGATAGACGAAGTACTAACTCTCCGCGTACCAGCAGGGTTTACATAGCTGTTGGCTTGTGTTCGAGAACATTCTGCGTTAAAGCAGTAAGAATTCATTCCAGAAGGTTCTCCATCCGTCTATGGCATATCTCCAATTCTGTAGCCAAATGGGCGATTTTTCGCCAAATGTGGCAATCCTACCTTCCCTTGCCATTTTATGGCAACCCTAAACCTGCTTTGCGGAGAAGCCATCCTACCGCTCCTGGACATTTCAGAACAATATATTCATCAATTCACTCATTTTCTCATTTCAATTTTACAGAAACTGATATAGAAAAATAGTTACAGTATGCTAAAAATGTTGTGTTCTAATTTAAAATTATGTGTTGTCATTGTGTTTATTTTGAAATAAAAAATGTAATTCTAAATCTTTTAATTATATTTTTCTCACTTAATTCATTATAGTTAATAAATTTTATGCCATTAAAATAATACAGTAGTAAGTATAATAATATATTTTAACATGTTTAAATAATAATGAATTTTACTTTTTACCATTTTATAATAATGTAACATTCCTCTCCCCTCCTTTTCTTTTAGTAGTAGCGAGCAGATAAAAGACGAGGAAGAAGTTGTTGATCCGACGAATATATAAGCGATTAGAAAAGAAACTTTTTATTAAAGATGCAGTTTGGGAAAGATACCATAGTTTCATGCAATACTTTACTGGTAACCTGAAGACGTCATGTAAACTATGAGTATGAATATTAATGACAATTATTCTCAGCAACAAGAAAACTTCTGAGTTTTGCAATGACGTTGATTCTCCGAGAGGATACATATGAAGTTTTAATACATTTCATGGGAGGGATGTTTTATTGAAGAAAGAATATTATCATTATCATTCTGCAGTGTATTAATTTCATAGGATATTTTCATACGCTTGAATGGATATCAAATGTTATAATATTTAGCTTCTCTCAATGCTGTAATAAGTTTGACTTTCTGGTAGAATGCATCTAATTGTGCAAGATATAAATATTGCCACACACCCGTTTCCAGGCCTTTCACTATTTTTCAGATTAAATCATATTTATATAAAAAGATAATTTATATCTTTTTCTACAAATCTGATCTCGTAATTTGAAATGCAATTTTCGCAACCTTTGCCAGGTCTGATTTTTTTCACTTCTCCTCTCCTGACTGGCCAGACTCACTGCCATTTGCGACCTATCTCGAAGATGGAAATTCAGCTAATTGCAACTCTTTGAGTAATAAAAAGGAAGTAAAAGAACAGCTTTAATTAAAATTAATATGTACTTTTACAAGTGAACGGGAATCAATAAGTTTCACTAGGCCTTTTGTAAAATATCACTCATGATTTTTAACGTCCTTTACATACAAACATGAAATTCGGTTTATGATGTACCATTTTACTTGAAAATGCAAATTATTTATGAAAAATCTTCGTAACGTCCTTAAGTTATCAACATGCCTGAATACAACTATTTATGTTATCAAACGTCCTCTACAGCATCTCATCAAGAGTCCGGATTGCTGCTAATGTTGCTTCTTAAGTCTTTTGATAAGCACAATAAAAAGACTAAATGCTTCAGACTGAATGACCGAATCATTGGGAGCGTGAAGTCGTTTGAAAATTGTGCCAATTAAATACTCATTTTTAACATAATCCATTTTTTTTAAAAAGCAAATAAAAAAAAAAAAGATCTTGAAATGAAGAACATAAAAATTGGTTAAAATATCACAACAATGTTTGTCATTGGGAGAGTGAAGTCGTTTGAAAATTGTGCCAATTAAATACTCATTTTACACTGTTGTCATACAGATTTTACACTGTTGTTCCTGTGGTATCAAATAAAAAATTAATAATTAACATAAATACCTTACGAAGCGGAGCATTCAACAGTTTTTCAGATTGCTTCTGAGTCACCTCTGTGGCCGACACTAGTGTACTTTGAAAATTGCAGTTACAAATTCAAATCATTTTTACTAGCCTCTGATTATTTCTTGTGTTGTTGTAACCAAGAACTATGTCTTCTCAAATAGCTCTTAATTTATATCTCCTGGAATAAGATGAGTGACGAAGGAAGAAGACCATATTTAAATAATTATCGTAAATAAAATAAACTTGGCTGGTTCAGTTTCATAAATTTACATCTTAGGAATCAATGAAAAAAAAAAAAAAAAAAAAACTCAAGCGTATTCATACTTGCATCACTTTTCATTAATCATAATCAGTGCTTTCTACTGTGATTGAAAAACAGTGCAGAAATTTTGTGTATATATTTTAAATTGCTGTCAAAATGTGTTTGTTATTGTGCGTCGAGGCAACTAGCAGCCTGTTTTACACCTTTGCACATATTATCAATGTTTTATAATTTTCGGGAAATGTGATATGCTTTTCTTAGTTGCACTGTTCCGGATTTTTGCATATTTTTAGTATTTATGTTTTTAAATACTTTTTGAAATTTTTTTATTTCTACCTTTTATGTTCTTGTGTTGGAAAATATATATATATATACATATGTCATTGTTACTTTTAATGCTACTTCTATTAAAATACGCATTACAATGTAATGTGTGTTGTGCGATATTTTTCCTATGGAAAATCACTTTTATGTCTGTAAAATCAGCTAAGTAAAATTAAATTTTAATTTTTTTACTTAGCACGTTTTAATTAACATCGTTTAATTATATACTACACTAAAATATTTGTATATGTGTGTTGCTGTAAATTGCTAAATGTGTAAGAATGTATTTAAATGCGGAAGTTTTTATTTTTGTAGGTAGGATTTAAATCTAACACGTGCGGTGTGTATTTTCTATATAACTTAATTTTTGTTTTCTGTCAGTTTTATCTGTTATAATATTATTTGTTTTTCTAGCGAGAAAAGGATGTGTTAAAAATGTCTGCAACCAAAATTTTGAAATAAATGAAATTTGTTATCTTTCATTTCATTTAATTTCTTTATACCGATCACTGATTTATTTTAAAATTATTCACAACAACATAACACAAATGGCAAATTCATAAAAACATTGCTTTATTTTAAATAAATTTTTCAGTAATAAATCAATTTATTGCTTTAGAATTTAAAAAAAATATCTTCAAATGGTATCTCAGCACTGCTTTCCACTCCTCAGCTCAGAAACTGTTATTTACGAGATGGCAAGCCCGCCAGATGAGCGGGCTGCGGTCAAAGCAAAATTTATAAGTACATCTGAAAAGAAAATGTATAAAAATATTTAAATATGAAATGTTTCAGCTTTATTTGCCCTTTCGGCTATATCAGGGTTTCTTAAACGTTTTTCATTCGCTATCCCTTTTTATCACTGAGAATTTTTTCGCTACCCCAGGACCCTATAATATTTACGAAAATTTTCTGGGACCCCCATAAGCATTGCGCAAATCCGACACACTTTTGAGTGAAACTTTCAATTTTTTCACTTGTACTGTAATATACTATTAATAGTTTTAGGTCATTAACTTTAATTTCTAATTTTAAGACGCAGAAAAATGTGAAAATTTTAATTAAGTAACAGACGAAATGACAGCATCACGTGCAAAGCAAAGTAAAAGGAACGTTGTTTATATTATAAAAAGAATGCGTCAAAACGTTTTCGTTTTTTCTTTGACTGTATTGCCTTATCTTTATCTATTTTCAGATACATTGTATAAAATTATTTGGTAATTGTAAAATTATTAAAAAAGTTAGTTAAAGTTAAAGAAATATCAAAACTGTTATTTTTGGCGACCCACAGTTTAAAAGCTCTGGGCTATACAAAATAGGGTTGTACCAATGCTGTCGTACAGAAAATCTGTGACTATAAAACTGCTACTCTGTGTACTTCTATCAAACTCTGAATCTTTGATCATCACGAGGAAAATAAGTCCCATGCGTCATCATTTCGAAGTTAATATTTAAAGTACTAACATTAATGAATTCTGTTGACTTTTCACGTGTCTGATGAGCCTCCTACTCGTTTCTGTTTTATTTTCTTGAGCACGCAAATTTTCTTAATTTCCTACTTGTCTGCTTAGCCTCCTACTCGTTTCTGCTTCAGTTCTTTAAGCACGCAACGTTTCTTGGATTTCTGCTTATCTGCTGATTCTTCTATTGATTTCTCCTTCAGTTTCTTGAGCGCGTAAGTTTTCTTGACGATATTCTTACCTGTTGAGTCTTTTAGTCATTTCTTCCTCATTTTTTTTAGCACCAAATTTTCTTGTCGTTGTGCTTGACTGTTGAGTTTCTTGAGTACGTAAGTTTTTTTGTCATTGTGCTTGCTTGGCGGGTCTTCTAGTCATCTCTTCGTCAGTTCTTGAGCACGAAAATCTTCTTTGTCAATGTGCTTGCCTGCTCAGTCTTCTAGTGGGTTCTTCTTCATTTTCTGTAACTCGCCGTAACCTTTGTACTTTAACTCTTTGACTTCTTCATGCCTCTCCCATAATGCCTCTTTTGCGTTCTGACATTTTAATAATCTGAAAAACAAATAGCACTGGACTAAAATAATCATTCAACTAAAATACATTAAATACCTATAAAAGTTTAAACTGTGCTCAAAAAGAAAATGTCTAATAAAAGAAATGAAATACTTTTAAATAAAATTATTAAAATGCATTAAAAATTGAAGATAAAATGAACTATTAATTTAATGTAATGTTTGCTAACTGTCGCCGAAGCAAAATTTGTAATTTCTATGTACACCTGAAAAGAAATGCATAAAAACATTTCAGTATGAATCAGATCAGTTTATTCTTTCCAAAAAAACAAGCAATTCGTAAACTTTTTTTTTTTTTTTTTTTTTTTTGCCAAGGGACGAAAGCATTTCAGATCACTTATGACGTCATGATTTAATGTAATATAACAGCTCTTTCTTAATATCAATAAAAGAATCAACGTGCCAATAACATATCATGTCAATCATCGCAAACCGAATCAAAAAAGTTGCCAGCAGTAGCTAGTTATTTAAAATGCTGACGTTAACGAAAAAATGTTCGACGTACAATGACGTCAAATACAATCGCATGCTTTCTTTAACGCCAGAATATGACCTTACATAATAATAATATTGTTGCGTGCCTACGGGTTCGTAGTAAACTGAATGCACAAGTTCGATGAAAAGTGAATAAAATTTATTATTATCACAACAAATAAAACCAAGTTCTTAAATTTCCTCAGATATACGTACAATATTGCAATATCTCCCAGTAGTTATCTTTTAAAGCTGGTACTTTGGTTGACGGAATTTTGGCGATTTACTTTGGTGCAGTTGTTGGCGCGGTTTTAACAATCGTCAGCCATCTTGAAAAACACTGTTTTTACGTATTTTGGCCATAGTAAAGTATTCGAAACTTTAAAAAAATAAGTATCGTTAAAAATAATGGATTAATTATATGTTGAAAACGTCGCTTTTTAAGATGGCAGGCAAATGTAAATAAATATATTTACTATGAGTATAAAATTAAGGTTAAATTATTACTTTCATATAGCAAAGGAATAGAATAAAAACACGCTAAAAACATTGGCCCCAACGTTAACTATATTAAAATATTTCTTAAACTGAATATTGAATTAAAAACCCATCATACCAACTTTAAAGAATAAATATACTTAAATTCAAAATACTTTAAAATAAGTAAATAGGAATTCTTCGTATACTAGAGCTAAATTGACAGATTAGAATTTCTTCCGTGAAAGGAGGAATGTCTAATTTTTACCGTTACAAGCGTTATTTTCCACCGTGACCACAAACCAATACGGCCGTCTTCAGAACGGCTCTTTTAAAGATCTCTCTGTAATCACATTTCTTGCACTTCATTGAAGGAGCAATTAGCGAGATTTTCCTTCAAAAATTCAAAATAAATTTCCTCGAACCTTGTAAAATTTATAAATAAATCTTTGATTAGGAAAACAAGGTTAGCAATAAGGTCTCAAAGAACAATTTTGATTCCGACCAATAATTCTTGGTACTTAACAAAACAACATAAATCTTTGAAGAGAATATCCGTTCCCTATGAAGTAGAATTCGAAGAGTGAATAATAAAATTAAAATGGCGCGGTAAAGCAAAATAATTAGTAACAACAGGGAAGCCTGATTACATCACGCATAGAATTAAAATTATTTAAATAATCATCAAAACATCGTTTTTTTTTTTAAATGCAAGTTAAGGTGCTACTTTGGTAGACGGTTGCACGGATTTGGCGATTTTTTTGGCGAGCGATACGACTTATGGTAAACCCATTGTGGACAGTTATTTTGGTAACCGATACTTGGTTTTTTATTTAAAAAAACTAATGCGTTTATTATGCATAAATTCTTGTTTAAATTTATGTATGACTTCTAAATTTTAAAAATCAATTTAATTTTATTTTTTTTACTAAAAATTTATTGTTTATGTTTTTATGGATTTTATGTAATGACGAATGACGTCAACATTATTTTTAAAGTAATTGGTTTAATATCTAATAAGTTTAATCTAAGTTTTAACATTATTTATGCTGGTTAAATATTAAAATACAATTTAATTTTGCATTTTTAAAATTGATTTATTAATGATTATTTAAATTTTTTTAATTCTATGCTTATGTAATCAGTCTCTGATGGTTACTGAATATTGGCATTACCGCCATTTTAAAATTTTATTTTTCATCCTTCGAAT